GTCCCCCAAAAAGTCACTTATGACGTCGGAAACGTGCCGAACAGCCATATTCAAATTCCATTGGTCCGAGTCGTAGTGGAGCAGCGGTCATCTGGCAATCGTCACTTCACACCTACTAGGGCGCCCCAAACCAACGGTCACTAAACCGAATGTTGGGGGAAGAGACTTTCACACGCCAGGATGGCGCCACTCTCTTTCCCAATGTGATACATTGGACAAAGCCAAAACTTAATAAAATCACTCAAATTTTGATGAAGTGAGGTGTACCAAGTATCATCTAATCACACCTCCTTCATTCATGTAAACCAGATTAATATGCCAAAGCCTGGTTTACCCCTCATCTCAAGTTTCAGTCCGTTTGGGAATTGAACCACGGACCTGGACTGGCACACCACCCTCCCCCAAATTCATGCTAAATGTTTTGTCCAGTTCATTTACTCTCTCAATCAGGGAAACAACACTATGCGCTCCTTACAAAAGAACATGGTTAGTCCAGTAAAACCATATTCACATGACAAAATAAATTTTACTGCCAGTGACAGCAGTTATAATTCTAATTACATTCAGCGGTCATGTTATGTCAAGCCTACAGCTGTGATAAAATTAATATGGATGCCACTGGAATCCATATGAAAGACAGGGTCAATAGCAAATACAATCACATTATGAAAACATCAAAATAATGAGGGCTTAGACTGTAAGAAAGAAAACTGCATTGTGTTAAAAGCAATTAAAAATAAACAGTACATACATCACAGATCCTCATATGAAGAAGTCTGCTATGTAGAATGCATAGCGAGAAACATGAACAAATTTACAAGCTATAATGACAATACTATAACTTATATGTGGCAGTACATCAAAAACCCAAATAAAAAGAAGAACAAATTACAAAGCTTCTCACTACATAACTGTCCTAATTTTGATGGGAAATAGAATACATTATTTTTAAATGCCTTACTCTCAATTTATGCTCCTCCATCCTAGTGTAAGAAGACGTTCAGAATTAAAACTCAAAATATTTTATCCTGCCATTTTAAAATCAACCAATATGTATAATATATTCATATTAAAGAGACAAAATTCTTGCCACTGAACTTACCTATATGTATCACATGTTTGTGTAGAATTCAGAAACATTTGATTAACTCTCAGTATCAACAGGCACTAAATCTCGTGCAAAAATAAAAGCAGACAGCAAGGCACTGAGCTGGATATTTTCATTTGTTCCTGATGCCAAACGATTCTCAATGTCAGCCATTTTAATGATCAATCCTACAAGAGCAGATGAGGGGAGTTCAACTAGAAAAAAAGAAGAAGAAGTAACAAAAATGATAAGGAAATCACCAGACAATTAACAATGAGTATTCTAAACTGTGACAGAAAAACTAGTGACTACTGCAGAGGGCGTATAGCACATAAATATTATAATCCAAGTAATAGATTTTAATTCAGATATTCCAGTACCATCCAATAATAAGAGAAAGCATGGTATCAAAACATAAGCCCATAATGACTGACATCTGTACTTAAAAAGTTGCAAGAAAATGTACCTACTTCTGTGAATATACAGATGGACTTCTGTCAAAATGTCTTGTAGAGCCAGTCCTTTGGCAGTTCTAAGAGTTTGGATTTCTGATCTTTGTTGAGAACTCATAATATATGATAAAAAGACCAAACAGCTCCATCAGGCAACTAACTGATCGTGTACAGGTTCAACACCAGTTTGATTTCTGATACAGGGAACCTGTATGAGGAGGCAAAACTACTCAGAAATAAGTCCACCCAGCATTACAACAGAGAAGACTGGGTTCTTTCAGAAGTTATTTTTTTATTCTTTAATATTTAAATTACCTATCACTCTTGTTATTTCTCATCCCTAAAATACTGTTAATATGTTACATCTTTTCATGAACATACATTACAAAAAGTGAATAAATAAAAAACAACAACGAAGTAGAAAAACAATACAACCATAATTCAATATTACATCTTAATCCTTGTTGTTGCTGCTACTGATGATAAGTACCTAAATAGATACACACAACTTTACCAGAATTCAAGAACTGGCATGCCACTAGACACTGAACTGAATTTCCAGTTTGCCACCATGTGGAAGTGCTAGGATATGGAAGTTATAAATAAAATCACCATACTTAAAGGTCCAGAGCAATAATTTGATCATTTTCTTGAACAAATGTCTGAAGAGAAAAAAGTTACTTATATTTTCAGGTGAATAATGCAACAGGAACTAAATAACTCAGACAGTGAAGTCCAAATGTTAAATACCACACACAGCAAAGCCTGCCACTGGGCATAATTCTAAGTTAGTTATGTTCTGTTCCCAACTTCACGACGTTTTCATAAGACATACCTTAAAATTATTCTCTCACATCCTTTTTGGTCTCATAGTCACTTTCCAGAAGTTTACCCACCAAAATGTTATATTTTTAATTATTTAATTTATTTAATTATGCTTTAAGTATCTAGACTGTACAATATCATATGAGAGGATGGCAGTAAGTAATAAATTGGAAAGAATGTGGAAGGAAGTGGTCATGGCCTAATTTAAGGTACTACCTGGTACCAACATGTTATGTGCATTTCCTTTCTCCCCTATTTTGGAAACCTTGATAAAAGGATACAGTGCTGAAAAAAACCTTTGGAGAAATGAGGTACTTTCAAAAATGAGGGAATTTCTTAACTATATAAATACTTGTCAACTCTGAGAGAGACATTGCACAGTTCAGTTAGAAGAAATTATCATTCTAGAAAGTGTGACTGCTAATTTACAAACAATGACAACTAATTTACAAAAGGATACTTTTATATGCAGATGAAAAGTCTTCATTAAGCAACCATTTCACAATGTTGGAAATGTCATTTTTCAAAGGATGACCAACACATGTATAAACATTATCCCCTGTGACTTCCTTGTATGCCATAGATGTACTCTGCAAAATGTTCAGTGCTTTCCTCATATCTCCCTGTGCAAGTGTTAGTAGTGCTGTCTTTCCATCTGCTGTTACATTTACACTACAAAAGTAAAAAACACAAATTATTAATGTACTTTGCTTACAAATCTTTAATGCTTAATACTTAAATTTTATGTGAGTCTCAGTAAAGGCATGGCAAACATAAAGAAAAGTGCCAATATTCAGGTGTGTTAAAGGGATGAAGCAATACATTTTTTTTGAAGTAAATTAAAAAATACAGCTGTCCCCAGTACCTATCATCGAGAAACATGAGGGGGAACAGAGAATGTGTAGCTTCTAATTTTTCCTGAGAATGGCACGAGGATGAATTGTCAGCATCACACCCCAGCCACACTTTACTCCTACAAAAGAGCCTCTGGTACCCACTGAGCAGGAGGCTGGGTGGCCCAGAGCCAGTCTCTGGATGCACAGGTTAGAAGAAAAATCCTTTGCACTGCCAGAGACTGAATCCTGGTCATCCAGTCCATAGCCAGTCACTATATTGACTAGACAACCCCAGCTCATTAAATATTTATAAATATGTTTAAAATTGTAATTAATAAGAAATGATAATTTGAAACAAATTTTTTGTCATTACTTAAACTTCTACTATACCCTTACTGGTACTGTTAATACAAAATTATCAGTTATTATTTCTGTGTTTTGTTAGCAGGAAATATTCAGTAAGACAAAAAGCTGCTTACCACCAACAAAAGAAGCAATGAGTAACGTTTAACACAACAATGCTCCTATGCCCAAGTATCAACCCATGAAGGCAAATAAGAATACTTGAAAAAAAAAACTGCACTTGTTCTAGATACACTGACAAACTAAATAAGGCCATGTGGTTTACCAATGCCATAATAAATTTTTTTTCAAAGGAACACTAACTTCTCCTGGTTTATGACATATTCCAATCTTGGCGAGATCTGCTCAGGTGTAAGTGGTGCAAATCGGAACCTTGTACATCGTGACTGCAGTGCAGGGATTATTTTGCTCAAGTAATTACAGATAATGCAGAACCGTACGTTTTCTGTAAACTTCTCTATAACTAAAACAGATTAAAAAGAAAAGGCATATACAACTTCCAATTAATGGTACAAAAAAATCACATCACTACAGTGGAAAAAATACTATATTTATGAGAGGTGTTTAATAAGCAACATCTCAGGACCACTTTTGATGTCTAATAAAAATATGTCAATACAATGCACCACGGCAAAATACCAAAAAGAAGACCCTGGTTATAGGTATGAGCATTAAAAACATTATAAATAAGTAATAAACTTTTTAGATTTCATTTCAAAATTCACCCCATCAAGTGTATGCATTTAAATCATTCTGCAACAGAAGTATTATTTACACAAATTCTTTGCAAAACCATACATAAAAAATACAATAAATATATCTGCACATTAATTTCTAACAAAAGTAAATTACTTCGCCTTAAAGCATTCTGAGCATCATTAGTCATGGCATCTGCTTCATCTAGAATTATAAGTTTAAAACCAGCACTGAAGATTGTTCTGGTGCTTGCAAAACTTAAAATTTGACCACGAACAATGCCAATTCCCCGGTCATCTGAAGCGTTCAGCTCCAATACCTGAAAAAGACACTGTACATTAAACAAGGATATGAAAAACTTAAGTTTAATGAAAACTATAAAACTCAGATCCTTATAAAAAGTGTAATGTAGTGAGGATCATTTGAACAATGATTTGTTGGTTTACAGGTTATTTACCAGTGTCATTTAGTGTTTAACTACATGACAGAAAAATTAATCACAGTGAAATGTAAAAATTGAGGAGTCATGGAGAGTTTAAAATTCAATCTCAACCCAACATTCAGAATATCACATTCCAGTCCAACAATTTTAAATTAGAACAAAAGAAATTGGACATGCCAGTTTATCATATGTGATAATGAATTCACCTCAAAGAATGAATGATAATTATGTGAACTACAAATAACCAGTTCCAAAAAATATACATACCATCGAATTAATCTGGTTTGGTGAGTATAACTGCTTGGCACAAGCAAGTATGGTGCTTGTTTTCCCAGTGCCTGGAGGTCCATAAAACAATAAATGAGGCAGCTGGTTTTCCTTAATGAATTTATTAACTGGAGAAATAACAAAAACATTGAAATTTAATAGAAATTTCATAATCATCATATATCCAAATTTTTCTCAATATGGAAACAACAGTTCAGAGAATATAAAAAATGTTACAAAATATGTTAAATGTACCAAAATGTGTTTGAATGTTGGAGGGCAGTTGTTGTATAATAATGTAAGTACAGTAATCTTACTCCCAATTTTTTCAATCCTGTGAAGATTTTCACAGGTCCTGTCGGTATTTTCGTTCAACATAACTATATGCATTCCAATAAGCATTTCTTAAATATCATGCCAGAGGTAACTGATTCAGTAACACACTCTGTACCTTAAAATATGCCATAATCACTTCCTCTTTTACTTGTGAGCTCACCATTTACAATACTTCTCTCATAACTCATTTGAAGCTTCACAATTGTCATAGCAACACTGAATAAACAAGTAACAACAATTATTACAATTTATTATTCTGTGCAACAGTTACCCTCGCATCTGGCATCTGTTTGAAGAAGAAAAAGGCTGTAAGTGTCTTGAATTTGCCATTCTCATTCTGACTTCAATCCAAAATCTTTGTCTTGAATTGCTCCAGATCTTACGTTCAACATATCAATGACTACACAAAAGTTGGTAATTCAATTCAATTTATTCATCCTACTTTGTCAAAACATTGACATAGGATACATCTTTCAAATACATGGCTCACAAGTTATATCAATATTACCAAACAATACAAATACCTTAAATCTTACAATACAAATACAATTCATACAATACGTACTTGTTCTAATTATATCTTCATGTGAAATTAAGTCATCAAGCTTGGCTGGCCGGTATTTTTCAACCCTTAAAATAAAAATGTGCGTAACAAATTAATTTGACATAACCTCACTTCCTGATATTTTTAAAGTAAACATGTCTCACATCTTAAGAACACATAACATACCAAGGTAAATTAGAACCTCTTGTAGCTGTGACCTTTGACATATTTTTAAAGACTAGCAATTTCCATTAATCACTTCACTAGCTAATTCCAAACACAAACCGAACGCACCAATGTTTCTTCCACACACAATAACACTACGCGCCAAAAGGTATGAGAATATAGTACCTCAACCGCCGGAACCCATCTTCACATGCTGGTATTAACTGTGTGTCATTCATGTAGTCCTGTTACCGCTTCCTTGCAGTTGCCGCATCTTGTTCCCACGGTGTTGCATCGTGTGAGAAATTGAAGAAAGATTGATCCACTACTACTTACTCGTAGTACTTCAACCTCTATTTTGTTACCCTATTACATCTGCGCTTCAAAACCGCACTAACAGGCAACGGTGTCTGTGATGGGTTCTGCTGTGAATGTTCATACTTCCTGCAATATCGAGATACGCTAATTGGCTTGCTTGCTAACAAGGCATTTCAATGCACCGCTTTGTTATAACTCTCTGCATTCGTCTCCATCTTTCCACCCCTCTTCCAACCTAAAATCCTCTCAGTTACCGCAATGGACGCGCGCGGCATTGTATAGGGAAACATGACGTTAAAGCAGGTATAATGATGTGAATTATTCCATCTGAAATTGAAAATCATTTGGAAGATGCTGACAGCGTGAGAAAGAGACAGGTTTTATAACAGGGGGATATGGTATTTTAAGAGGTGATATAATTGTTAAAACCAACAACATACTGAAGAAAGGTGCTCTCATTTCAAAGTATATAACACTTGAACAACCCATTGACTCCTTAGGGATGACAGCAAACCAGTCCTGATTAAATCCTGCCAGAAGAGGGCACTGACCCTTATTTCCAGATCATATATAAAAAAGTGTTCAACCAAGTTCAAATAGTTGCATTGATTGAAATTAAAAAATTATCTCATTTCATTGTATTGTTATTATTAATTATTTTTGCTGTGTTTATTACACTGCTGCCATCACCAATTTCTTCTTGTTTTGATTATACAGTCCTTGAAGGACCTTGGCCCCCTCACACATGGGAGAGTTCTTAATCTATTTATAAATTTGGTAAGACTCTTTGGATGAGTGATTAGCTTGTCACAAGGCCTCTACATATACAGGGCACCATAGCACAACACAAAAAGACAAACAGCCATGCCTCGCATGAGATTCAAACCTATGGTCCCAGAGTGCGAGTGATCAAGGACCACGTCCCACACTGTATGGCCACTGTGACCAATATTACCTGTTTCACAATTGTCAAATGATTTACATCTATGAACCAATCATAAATATCATTAATTATGCAGGAACTGCATTAAATGTTCTGAAGAAGGCTGTCTCCTGGGTTGTTGCTCCATGTAGTCCGGTAGAAGTTTACCAACGTTTCAGAGGTCCTTTCTGCCTCCATCATCAGGGTGATGAGTAAAATGTGTGAGTGGAAAGTGCTAGAATTAAAGGAACCTGACAGGAAAGGAATGGACTAATCCTAACCAGTAGGGACTAGTGTCAGAATCAGATGAGGATACGTGAACCAATAGGAGTGTGTGGGTGTGTCGCAGCATGTGAGAGAGAGATGGAGTGAAGGAAAAAAAGAGGTCCAAGAAAGCAGCCCTTTCAAGGGCCCCTCAGAGTCCAGCCGGTGGATCACTGGACATATGGGAGGTGGGTGGTCATGATGCAGGGGAAACAGGAGATTGGAAGGGAGCACTGGCCGGGGCCGGATGTGCCCTCAAAAGGGCAGAGTAATGGTTAATGGCTCAGGCGGGACTAGCAATGCAATATGGGATACTTCTGGAGGCCTTGGAGAGAGTGAATGAGGGGCTTCCAAGACCAGCTCAGGAAAAGTCCATCCTCCCTGTTGAAGTTGTTAGGATGCAGTTCTATCTCTTTGGCCTCCAGGATCATCTGGTCCATGTATCCAGATTTGGTGGACAGGATAGAGGTGTCTTGGAGCTGGATACAGTAGCCCAGAGAGCACAACCACCCAGAAGACAGCCATCTTCAGACTCACCACTGTGAAAACCTCAAATTCTACAAAATAAAGTTTAGTTCACTACAATGTAGGGCAAAATTACAGCATGAAGATATTAACATGTTCTAAAATATGATAAAATTAAAATATTTGGCATCATCAAGAAATAAAAATTTCATTCATAAAAATGTTAAGAGCAGATGAAATTTGAGGAATACTTCCTTTCCTTCCATTCATTTCTGAAACTGTCTTACATATATCTATAAAAGATTTTGTACATGATCTTACTTCTTGCTTCTAAATGTATCTGAAATTCTGTCAGAGGGCGTTGAGAACAAAGTGGTGAGGATACTGGGACCTAAGAGAGAGCAAGTAGCAGGATTGAGGAACATTATATAGCACATATCACTTTTCAGTTATGGTAATTCTGGTCTTGCCTTTTTTACTATCCACTTACATATTATTAGAGTTATCAAATTAATGAGGATGAAGTGCACAAGACACATGGCACATATGCAAATTCATTTTAGTTTCAAACTTTAAAGAAAGAAACCACTTGACTCACACATATACATGCAAGGATATTATTAAAAGTGGCTAAGAAACTATCAGCTTCTCCAAAAAGGACTCAGCTCTATTGAAGGTTAGGGGCATAACAATATTTTAAATATGCAGAAATTAAATTCTAATATTTCATGATCTGAATAGGGTACAGACACTGGAATAATTTATCACCATGGGTTGTCTTTATTCAATCAGAAAGATCACAATTTGAAGTTCACAGACCAATATTTTTCATACAAAGAAATCACATCTTTCTGTCACTTTCAGAAACATTCATGTACAGAATAATCTAAAACTTATGTATAGTTCAAACTTCATGCTCTGAGGCAATGAGAAATATAAACCAGTTGACTATACTGCTAAAAATATTACTTAAAACATTACATAAATTATGTTTACATCACAAACTAAAAATAAATGTATGTAACATGTCACCACAACTTTGTTACTCAATGTGCTATGCAGCTTAGTGGGCCAGTCACTCATTCAAATGCTTTCTGTGCCCTGAAAAAATAACATAACAGTTTAAGCACAATTCTTTGTGTGGTTGTGAAATGCAGCATCCTATTTTAAAAGAAGTACATAAACTAAATGTACTAAATATTTAAAAACAAAGCACTCAAAAATGTATTTGGATCTGAGAGGAATGAAGTAGTAAGAGACAGTAGGTAGACTGACTTAACCATGCATTAAGAAAGAAACCAATGGGACAAAACATTAATGATAAAAGAAACTGACCTCTTGTATATTGCTCTTAGAATCTGCCCACTTTCATTATAACGTGCTTCATTTAAATATGATGCAGCATGCCACTTTTTACGGACTGCAGTCCAGTGAATCAAGTGGTTATGAAGGAGAGCCTCTCGACTTACGTTAGGTTTAACATCCTGTGGACAAGCAAATACTGAATTAATAATACATCAATCTTCACTGATCAGGTTTAAAACTCATGTTTACAGCACAATACACTGAATACATGTTTACAAAATACATAAAATGTTATAATTACCCAGATCCTCAATGTCAGGAAGGAGGACTTCTTGTAGTGGATGTACATGGATAAACAAAGACTGGACAGTGGTTTAGGTCTAGTTGCATGCTTTTGTTTCTTGGGTTTATCAAATGGTGTTTCTTCTTATGGGTATACAGTCGTTCAAATGATCCTTGGAATTTTGAACGGTACAAGAATCGAGGAGTGTATGAGACATGAATACGTAATGGTATTAACCCTACAAGTGCTAGTTCCATTTTTTGTAATGCTAGACTTATAATAATCAAACACAACGTCAATAACAGAACAAAATAGCCCACATACATTAGAATCCCAATTATCCAGGTTTGTTGGGAAATATATTACCTCTGATAATCAAAATCCCAGAAATCCATAAAAAATAAAGAAAAAAACATAAATATAACACACAGCAAGTTTATTTACAGACATACACTACTAAAATTTTTAAAGATTTTTTATTACATTTAATACAGTACATAACAATTTCTTTAAAAGGATTCCAACAAATAGTATTAACATTTTGTTCTCATAAACTTCAGATTTTCGTAACAACTGGCTTATATTAATTCATTAAATAATATGTCACTGATGTATTTACTCCTTTCTTTTTTAACATTCTAACTTTTACAACAGATTTTCTAGAATAATTTCTAATTTTCATTTAAACCAGACAGATTGCAGTTAACCTGCCCCCAAATAATCAGGCATTATTATAATTAACCTAATCTGCAAACGAAAATTACAGTAAGGTATATGTTAGTAAACATTTCTCCAATGCATTTGCTATTCAGAATGGTCTCAATATCATCAAGAAAAACCAAGTAAAGAAGTGATTGCAACTGAATGGAACTCATCAATTTCTGATCTATGCTGATGTTAATTTATCGGTGAAAATATAAATATCATAAGTCCATTACAAGCTAATAGGGAAATTGGTCTGGAAGTAAGCACAAGAAAAAGAAGTACATATTCATGTCCCATTACCAGACTAAAGTATAAAATTATTATTTAAAATCAGCTAATAAATACTCTGAAAATGTGGCAAAGTTCAAATATTTGGGATTGACAATAACAAAGCCAAGTTACATTCATGAAGAAATTAATAACACATTAAACTCAGAGAATGCTTGCTACCATGCAGTTCAGAATCTATACATAAAATTATAATTTTACGAAACACGGCGGTCAAGTGCTTCACATTTAGGAGGTCCTGGGTTCAAATCTCAGCCCAGAAACCATGTATCCTGCCTAGGGTTATCATGGTTTTACTCAGTCCCTCCAGGCAAATTCTAGGATAGTACCTTAAATTAAGCCATGACTGCTTCCATCCACATCCTTTCCAATTCACTATCATCCTCTCATCTGAGCTAGATTCATACCTAAATTAAATTAGGTATGTAAAATTGCTAAGAAAACATGAGAAAAATTAATACTCACTCCACTGGAGTACACATTACAAACTTTTATATTATCATGTTTGCACAGAACTCACTTGATCTGCATTCAGCTGATCCTTAGGTTGGGGTACAGGCGATGGCACCCGCAATTTTTTTGAATCAACAGGAAGAGGAACAGGTGGTGGCATTTTGTAGGTATCTCTCACAATTTCTGAATCAGAATCTGCCCCTTCAACTCCACTGGGGGCATCTTCAGGTGGAGGTGGAGTTGGAGTACGCAATCTGTAACAACATTAATATAAATATAATACAGATAATAACCATGACAATCATGATGGTGATGATAATGATAATCTGTACCAATTGGAGATTCCAAAGGGAGCAGATGACTCAGAAGATCTAGATAGTGTATGGAAGGATAATATTAAGATGGATCTTAAGCGATGTCTACACTCGTGCGCTTTCGTTTTCAACTTTCAATTCAACATTCAATTCAACTGTCATTTAGGGCATGCCTTTGTTGAATGCGTGAAAGGCATGCCCCTAGCTGTCCACACTACGCTGTCATTTGTCAGGGTGAGACACAAGATGAGAGAACAAGAATAATTAGGCAGTAGAAGTTAAAAGAAATTATATAACAGATTGAGTATACTTCTAGGGATGGTATGACCCGAGACAAAACAAAGAGACTAACTACATACATAATCATATGGGTTTTGCAACATGTACGTTCTATTTTTGTAGCCATTTAACTCCACACACAATGAAAACTAACCTCTCTTTGACAAAACAAAATTCATATCCTGTACATACACTCTCATAACAGTGCTGTCATCTTTTGGATAACTATATTTTTGGCCAAACTGTACTTACTTTGGTGTGAGGTTGGTGTTACGAGGCTGGTTAGCCATCCATGCCCTGCAGATTGGATACAGTGGTGTGTCCTCTTTGAACTGGGCTAAATCCACACTTCGGTCATACAGCTTCATGACATAAGTGTGGTGAAATGCAGCATCATTTATGGCCTCCCTACGGCGACGCTTTCTTTGTGGACGTATATTCCGTATTGCTTGCTGTGGAACAACCACAGGTTCACTACAAATAAAAAATAAATACACTTGTTAACAATTACAGATATGTATTATGTGCTGCTTGGCATACTGATCATAAAGTTGTCCATTATCCACATACCAAGACATTTTCTCAACCATTTCTTCCTTACTTTCCCTCTCTTTGTGTGTGCTTTACCAGGATATAAAATGGGAGATTGAGTTTCTATGCTCATTTTCCTATGTTTCATCTCTAAAATAACTAAACATATTTTATTACATTTTGCATTGGACAGCTGCACTAAAAGTGTTACGTTAACTTAATTTTGATCTGTATCTGTCCAATATAATTCTTATTTTACATGATTCTTGCATCATATTCACAATTCTTTTTTTTAAAAAAAACTCACTATACAAATATTTGTCCTGTAATATAAAATACGAATTTCTTTACAATTTACAATGTTTACATAAATCATTACTTAACATAATGCATATTCAATATCAAAGAATAAAAAAGAACTTAGTCTGTGAATCATAGTATCTCTAATGTAGTTAATTTTGCAGCAATGTTACATGAATACATGGGGTTCAAAATTGTAAAGAATGCATTTAGCAAACACGTATACTCAAAATTAAAGCACACCTTCTGACTCTTCTTAAATTTCAGTTTAATTTGTTTAATGTATTCACAGATGTGGATAACCAATGCAGCTGAGTAAACTTTAAACGAATTAACCAACCAACATCCTCTTTGTTCAGTTGGTTGACAATGTATTAAAGCTCCCCACAGTACGGAAGCCAGGTAAATGAGCCCAAAGTGGAGATAAGAGACTTCTGACAGTCACAGAACTTAACTGAGCAAAATACCATTCAGTGCAAGGAACCATATTTTAATATACTTTCAATGATGTTAAGTGGAAAAGAAACAAAATACTCACGATTTAACAGATAGAGGTTTCTTAACAGCCATTTGTTGGTTGACTACATCTGACTGTGATGCGTCATCATGACTTGACAATGAAGAATCATCACTCTGATCCAAAAGTTCTTGTAATGCTCCCTTCAATCGGTCACGAGCATTTGTCACATCACCACTACCTAAGAGTAAAATAAAATGTGTATCACATTTTAAACAATGTTCCTTGCCATAGTTCAGATGGTTATTTGCTGACTCCTCACCATGGTTCAATCCCACAGCAGTGAAAAAAGAGACACAAAGGCTGATTCTTATCCATCTATAGTATTTCGGTCTCCCCTACCATCATTTCCACTTAACACTTCAGAGGATGAAATAGGCCTGATAACACAAAAGTGACCTTCAAATGGCCTTATTCAGCTCTGACTCAGAGAATATGGCTTCTTTTACTTTCATCCCAAGTCATGGTCAAACCCAGAGAAAGAACATTTTGACTGTCTTCTGGAATGTTGCATTGTGCAGTTTTGTAAAAACTGATCAACATTTCAGAGGTAGGGGACGAAGTCAGTCGTCTACTCGTGGTGCCCCCTGTTCGCCTAAAACGACTGACACTTGTCGCCTTGTATATAGACTAATGTCTGAGAGGCTTAAGTCTGGGGTAGGAAAAAAAAATTCAGAGGTGTTTACTACCACCATCATCATCACCCTGATGATGGCAGCAGTAAGCACCTCTGGAATCACAATTTATATGAGACTACACAGCATAACATCACAGAAGACAGTCACCTTCATACTTGCTACCATAAGAACCTGAAATCTCACAAAGAACTTTTATGTATGATCCGGCATCTCAGATGATTTCAGCAGCCGCTAGAACTCACTATCACTAGCTTGGGTGGTATGGAATAATGACAACTAAATATAATTTTAATTGTGTACAGTTGTAGGAATTACTTGTCACTATAAGTGAGTAATAAATTCCACGAGTAATGACATCCATCCATCTATAATAACTCTGTTTGTGATCTTTGGAAATGCATAAGCTGTAAGAAGGAGGAAAAGCAAAGGAAAGCCCAGCACCCTAAAATAGGAACATTTCGCTATTGGATGATTACAGACGCAAAATAAACTGCAAGAAAGACTCCTCAGTTGCAATGAACACAACCTGTTAGGCAACAGAAACTCTGATAGAAAAGCCTTGTCCTCCAGACTTGGGGCTTTATGATGGGCTCATGTAAATAAAATATTTTGAGAAGCTTGTAGCAAGATGACTATTAAATATCTGTTTAAGAAACAATCACAGACTCAAAAAGTTTAACTTGAATCGTTCACCAAATTTAGGTCAGCTCAGTAAGTAATGTTACAGCATTCACATCAGTTTATCTTAACGAACCTCTTCTTCACTTACATTAACTGCTAAGCTTAAGCTCTGAAAACAAGGTAATTAATTTCCCAATATCACATTAACCTTAATGTATAACATTTATATCTCACTTATGGGAAAATGTTCCACACAAAATGTAACTCTTACCACTTTCAGTTGTACTTAGCAAACATACTTCCATTGATCAAATATCACAAATGATTTGAACTATCAGAGGAAGGCAGGAGAAATATCTTTGAGTGACACTGCTGCACACCATTCAGAGTAGAGTGGTCTGTGTTTCTGGTCAAAATACCTCATTCACGGCACAGAAGGATTAACGGTTAATGTCTTGTGTACTGTAAGTACCTTAGCATAGCAAACAACAACAAATTGTATTCTTTAATTAACTTCTTCTCTACATTTGACGGTTGAATGCGGCTGAAGGCGGAAGGTAGACGATCGAATCTGTACAATATGGACCAATATTAATTTTCATACAAATTCGTTCACTTGCCATCGAGTTTTAAAGTATCTCATATCGAACGTAGTGGTCGAGCGGTAAACATTTCTGCTTCATATGCGGGAGATCCCGGTATCAAATCTCGGCCCGAGGTTAGTTTACACTATGGGGCAGGTCGTGGTCAGGTCAGTTTTGACCAAAAACAAAAATTGTCCTTTCAACATGAAAGCAAACGCATTCACACTGGAAGGTCAGGAACCTGTCAGGTCCAGGGCATGACACCTTGGGTCACTCAAGGAGGCAATTTTTGTCCCATACCCCGAACGAGTACTAGTCTCCTTGGTTGTTAAAGCCATTGCCGATGAGAGCCGAAGTCAGCTTGATTTGGTTGCTAGCGGAAATACCGCTTGTATTTCGCGGGATCTTTGCGTAGTTTTGAACTGTTGTATTAAGTCCATCCTCGTTACACACTGTCACAAAGTGTCGTTCATTCACATCCTCTTGCTTTTATAATTCATCTTTTTCGTAATTTCTTTACTAACTAATGCCAAAACAAGCACTTCCGCACCCAAACTATCCGACATCCTGGTACGTATCACATTGTGTGTGTCCTGACTGAAACCTGATCAGTGTTCCTGTCAAAAGGTGTCCTTGTCAAATCAGATACGTGGCCTTGACCTGCCCTAGTGTGAACTAACATTCAGGTCGTTCGAGATGTTCCTCAGCTCTCCTCGGGTTCCGCTTCCTTCTACATCTTTTCTAATTCATTAGTCTCCCCAACATTCGATGCTAGAATATTCTGAGCTACTGACAGTGCCAATGCTCACAAACAAAATAATTGTTTTCTGAAGAAGTGAGTGTTTTTTCTTGAACAACGCGAACAGAAAATAGAGTTTTTCACCACTTCCAATCTATTTTATGTGAGTCTTATGTAAATGTATCAGCATAGATATTACAATGCAACAGACCTTGAGGACGACGCGGTTGCATGATTTAGTATCTTCCTCTTTCTACGCTTTTATGGAGCAACGCTGCGCGGCAGTGTCCTGCGTCGTGCTGACAGCACTGATAACATAGTCTGCGAACACGTGATAACATAAGAATGGCGGCACCCAACTCTCCTTGCGAACGCAGCACATCCATTTGGCTGTTATTCTAGGGCCATTCCAAATTCGAAGGATACGGTTTTTCAACGGAATCGAATGGGGTGCTTACATGATAATTATTGGAGAATAAGTAATGATTTTGAAGGAGCCTCGGAATCACATGGAACGACTGACAAAAGCAATGAAAACTCAGATAAGAATAGCCGATAGAGCTGCTGAAATTGCTCTGAATGACTCTGGCACGTGCAAAACGTTCGATTTGCTCCCTGATTATGTGTGAAAACTTGACCAATTTTGCCCAGATGTTAGCTTTTAAAGTAGTAATATAATTTTTACGAATCTACACAGCTGTTTGTGCACAACTCAACAGATATATTTACAATTGTGAAAATTTGTATCCAAGTCTGGAGTAACGAACAGCGGCGCGAAATGCTATCCAATAGGAAGCGACCAGTCGCCTGAATAAAAGAGGTGATGAAAATGTTCAATATTCTACGCGGTTTATTCCCGAACGTCGAAATTTTCAGCTACTACACATATTTACGCATTTTATTTACAGGAATTTTCTCGCGAGGCTCAAGGGTCCACGATCACTTACAAACAGCCACATTCGACCATGAGTAGAAATAATTGCTCATCCTTGTTCTAAAATTAGACTACGTAAAGTCGGCTAACCAAAGAACTCCACTCCAATATTACACCCAGCAGGAAGAACGGAGTGAACCACAAGCCTCTACATTTGAACTGGGATTCAACATTACACTAAAACTGATCCGTCACTGTTTATCTTCAATAAGAGGTTATTACGGAAAATAATCTGCACCTCTTTGAGCCGTGGGTTATCAGCCAAAAAGGTCAGGCTGCATATCACAATATTTCTGTTCTGTTGTGTAAATAACATTAGTATAATAAGAATATGATCCCTGTCTCACTCGACAGTAATATGAAAACCGGCGTATTAATAAACTGTTGTTAAAAGTCTACAAAGTGAAGCGAAGTGAAGTGAAGTGAAGTGAAGTGATGGTTGATTCACTGCACCGGACTTACGCTGCACGTTCCCATCGTGTGACTTATGGTCCACGGATGTATGTGGGTGTGTCCCGGTTTCTGTACACCCTAATAACCAAATTACTATTACAAGCTACGCACGTATTAAAACACTTCCTTTGGGTTGGTACATGTTTAGTTGTGGTTCATATGAAGACGGTGTCAGTAGCTCAGACTCTACAGCGTCAAATGATAGGATGATTAATGAAAAATGAATTGGAAAGGATACGGAAGAAGTTGTCGTGACCCAATTTAATGTACGAGGCTCGTCCACAAAGTAAGTTTCCCTGGGGCCGTTTACAGAAACAAAATATAATTTCATGGAAATATTTATTGCAACAGATACAGCAAGTGTCCAGCTATTTTTCAACATATTCGCCACCGGAATTGAGACATTTGTCATACCGTGGGACCAACTTTTGAATACCTGGGTCGTAGAAGTCTGCCGCCTGGGATTGGAACCACTGTGTGACAACCATCTCCGCCTCTCTGTCATTCTCAAAACGCTGACCGGACAGGAATTTCTTGAGGGGTAGGAAAAGATGGAAATCACTGGGAGCGAGATCCGGGCTGTAGGGTGAATGATTAAACACCTCCCAGCTGAACTCCTGCAGGAGACTTGCTGTCCGTCGAGCCGGGTGCGGCCTAGCGTTATCACTGACCGCACTTCACAGGCGGCGGGAGCTGGAATAAGAACCTCCATCTTCAACAGCTGCAACGATGCTACTGTGAGAACGCGGGAAGTACCGTTAGTGCATGCGCCATGCTACGTCATTGCTCTATCACGTACGCACAGTCGCTTCGCGCAATATAAGGTTTGCTAGCTGTGGGACGAGTGGGAAACTTACTTTGTGGACGCGCCTCGTATATTCCGACATTTATCTTGAGTGACTGAGGAAAGCCACAGAAGCCCTGCCAGGACAAGATGTGGTGCATATTAGTCCTCTGAGGACCAGAAAATACTTATCCTATGGTCATTCACGAGAAGTCGATATTTATTTGATAAGTTCTCTGACATTATGGGACCAGAAAATTAACCACAAAAGCCATATAATGGATTGTAAAATTTGTTAGTTCTTACGCATACAGTGTTCCCATGAAGCCGAAATTAGAAATAATCCTATCGTACCGGATTTCCGTGACAGTTCAATAATTATTCAGTTTTTCAATAAATTTCGTGTTATTGGTCCCAACCATCACACTGACAGCCTAACAGCATCCAACCTACATCCCGGGCATTACTGATACTAATTTCAATACGAGTAGCCTCCTCCCTGCTGCGCTGTAGCTAGGTGGCTAGACGCTGGCTTCTCACCAGGGTTCAATCACAGGCTACTTACGCGAGATTCGTGGTGTACGCAGCGACACTATAACAGGTTTTTCTCAAAGTTTTCGGTTTTCCCCTGCTAATCATGATTCCACCAATGCTCCATCCTCATCCGTCACCGCTCTACGCGGTGGCCGATGGTCCAAACAGCACATTATCGTATCCTCAGTCCACATTTAGGAGTTTCAACTATGCCCCAGCACTTGGCTGGTCTCGGAGTAAAGGTAAAAAGGTCGTTACATTTCTTATTATCACCCCATGTGTCATTCTTCGACATCAAAGCTCCTTTTTAACGCCCGTTTTTGTAAGAATTCGTCGTCAAATATGAATCTGACAAAACATTTATCAGTAACTATCACATACCTCTACGATCATCACAAAACATTTCGCTATCTCTAACGGCACATTCCGGCCTCAGTATGAATACGCCATTTTCCATACAATGAATGCAGGTCCACTCCACCTCACGACTTCAAGCAACCGTCACGTTGATATCACCGAGTGCAGGAAGGTATAAAGTATAGAACTACCTTAAATTAGTGCATCATCGCTCCGGAAAAAAATATGTGCAATATAACTGCTCAGATTGTACTGTATAGCTAATGACGTTCATTTAAGAGTCTGAGGATTAAGTATTACAGAACGTGATACCACTGCCATAAAACACCCGTCCAATAACCGGATACAGGATAATCGTGAGCTACAATACCGACACTGACATAATGGAATCACACGGGAAACCCCATCAGAACCTATACTTCCATTTAGAATATTGCAAATAAAGATGAACCTCGACCGTCCTTCAGTCACCAGATTCATTTCATAGCAATAAAATTATGCACAATGCCGAATGTGAACCACGATCCTCGATGTATACAATTTTGTACTACCTGAATCTCTGAAATTCAAGTAGTTACAAAGATATCAAACCAACAGGAGAACTAGCGGAATGCTAAGCCGTTCATCTTGCCAAGTTACAGGAAACAAGAAGTTCTTTCATCTCTAAATTTGTTTCAAGGGACTTCCTCACCAAAAATTCTGCATTCATGTGTTATCACAAGACACAAAACTGGCTAAATAATTATTTCGTGTATTTAAATACTTAACGTTTTAGAAAGGAAATAAAAATATACATTTTCTGAACAAAGTAATACATATTTATTTAATATATTCTTCCTGTATTTCATTATTACCAACATCATGAGCAGTAATTGCTCAGTCAAGTAGCTAAACGATCGGCGTTCGGTTCCCACATCTAGCACATACATGTTTTCAACACCACAACCAGATTTATGATCTCTGCCCCCGTTCAACGGGTACCGAAGGCTCTTCTACCAGGGCCAAAACAGCCGAGGCGTGAAGCTGTCAATTTACATCCATCTACTGCCAAGGTTTAGAATGCGCCGGAATTTACTTAACACGATCACTACGCCTCTTCATGGCGTGGTGGTCAGGTACAGAGACCAATTTTTGGTACACCTTTTTAATTCTCACTATCGACATCAATGACAAGTAATCCTGAAAATTGATACAGCATCTCCAACAAATATTAGCAGACCTCTTCGACGAACTTTGTTTGTTTCGCAACTGAACAGATTAAGCTGAATGACAGGTGTTGTGCCGGCACCCCTTCTCACTCTTATTTGGATCCCATGTTATTAACACTGTTAATATTAATTGTAGTCGTCCCACATCTAGTGTGAAGCGTGGACAGCAATTGGAATTTTTCTGACGATGTAGTAGCAAGGATCACTCCAACTGCGTGCATCAGCGTTTAAAGGGCTTTAGTGTTAGGTTGAATAAAGCATACACGTGTCTTCCACACATAGACATAGACTGCATAACGAACAAGGTGGCCAATCAGAAGCGCTAATTTCAGGGCGTCCTTAGAAATTCTATATAAGGCGCATGAAAGACCCTCAGTTATGCCGAGATTCGAACCCAGGATGTCCTGCGCAAATCTGACGAGATCTAGACGTATGGCGTGTGCCTACATAAATCAAAAATTGCCTCCCTTTTCCCATGTAACCTCCCTCTCCCCAACACCAAATGTCATATAAAGACAGTCAGCAATCTCGGAGATGACAATTCGAACAAACGGACCCGACCGTCCATAATTGGTTCGTATCATGCATTTCGTGCAAATAACGCATAACAAGGATCAACTGCAAAAGCTGATATGAAACTACGTGATTCTGGTAGTTTTCTTTGTAGTAAAAGTGTAGAGACGAACAACAGCTCTGTAACACAGAGGTGGAGCGACGGGGTATGTACGTCACTTCGTTGCACTATATAAGTGGTTGGCTCTTCCCCAAGCACACTCGCGGATCACAGCCCGCCAGTCTATTATGCACCACCTCTACCATCCGCATCACCACCGCCAGTGTTCACAGTTGTCATTACAAAACACCAACTGTTAGGGAGAGCAAGCGAGTGAGTGAGTGAGTAGTGTCCAGAGTGTCGCCAATGAAAAGGACCAACATTTTAAATCGGTTTTAACAGAACACCAACACAAGTACAGCCTTTGGACGTAAACTCAGGTCAGTACGCATTGACTGTCTTGTTCTTTACATACCGACGCTTTCTAAACTGTACGGATTAATGAGAGACGATGTCGAATGAAACGGTTGTGCCATACTTTAACGCACTGACCCAGGATTTACCTGAAGGAACGTCAGAAAATCACGAAAATCCAGTCAGGACAGCCGAACTTTGACCCAGAATCGAAACCGGTACCTCCTGATAATATAACAAGAGTGCTAACAAATCGACCGCAACTTTTAGTGGCTAGTCTAATGGCATTAGAAAGTAATAGCGACGTATGCAATCTAACGCCTGTCCATCACATAAAAGACGGCAAGAATAACTGGTAAAGTCTCAGGTCAATTATCGTGATGTCAGTCAGCAAACCTCTTCAACAGCAACGCTAAAGAGGTGATATTCAAACATCTATGGCTATTTGTGATTACTTAAAAACGCACGAAACATTAAGCATACGCTGAACCTAAAGATTAAAAATTATAATTTATTCTGAGTAAAAGGACAGGCAGAATTACTACCAACAATCCAAACGGATTTAGTCCACTCAATTATCATTGACCAATTATTTAAAATAAAATATTCATGAACCATACAAGCAGTTGGTACAAATTCAAACTAATCAAGACTTCAGTATTAGATGGAAGTAAGTAGTCAGCTTAAGCTCCTGTCGCCCTATCCCCGGTAAAGAATCATCAGTGCCCACTGGATACGAGACATAGAATTCATTGCCATTCGGGTCGTGGTCATTTAAAAAAAAAAAAAGTTTACTCTTGGCAGGAACCAGACATCCGATCGTCCAAACCGTAGTAAATAAATTTACAGACATAAACATTTAGAAAAGCAATTGTAAAACGAAGCTGAACCAGAAGACTTGACGGCTGCCAGGTAAAAACATTTAAAATCAGTTTCGCAAGGCATAATGAAAATGTTACCCCACTAAGAGGCCGTCGTATACGTCTATATGATGGATGAGAACAAAACAAGTCAAAACGAAATTTGACTGATACCTTTTACACTGAAGACCGATACCAAGTTTAACCTAAATCCGTTGATAGTGTCTGAGATTTAATATGACGACGTTCGTTTGGGTTCTGGCACCGTGTGGACGGTCGGTAGATGCCAACGTTTCGGAGAAGCGTACTGTCTCCATCTTCAGGGCTGGTGAGACAATGCTGGGAATCAAAGGAATTGTATAGTGTCACTTCAGTCCTGAAGTTGAAGACAGTAGCAATGTAAACAAAGAACTTGTCGGAAGGTGAGGGGAGGGGAACTCGTTCCGTGGCCTTGAAACTTCTAATTTCGTGACGGCTACAACAGTATGAATCTAAGATCACAAAGAGTCATGAACGCACTATCATCTTGGCTTGATTAAGCAGAAACGACAATGGACCACGATAAATGATAGGAATGTGAAACCAAAACAGTTTGTGGAATACATAACAGAATAAACTTCGACGCACTGCCTTGGACATTAATTTTCCTAACGGAACGACTTTTGACCGAAGATTCAAAGTTACAATGTAGTGCTCAACGCATTCTACGGATTAAGAAACATTCTTGTCCAAATAATAGGCAAATGATAACAGATAACTTGATTGGATGGTTGGTAATAATCTGTTGTTAGTGGATTTTTGGCCTCGTTGGATAATATTTATGACTTTGTGTGTTTACTATTTTGGATTATTCACTCTTAACACGTAATTTACTGACATTATTTCCACTGTCGAAAAGCCTCAAAGAGCTTCTTCAACTGTCGAGATATCGAATAAACCAAAACCAAAAGGATCGGTTCTCGTCACTGAGACATCTAATGGAAATGGTTAACAACAGCAATCACGTCGTTTAATCGCACTGCCCTCCTTCCCACTAACTTGTTTCAGGGATGGGTTGAAGTAATGATCTGTAGATTCTGCAGTAATATCTTTATAGAAAGCGTTACTGCTTCAAATTCATTTGACACCGGCTAAAACAGACATACAACCATGAGTCAGGTTTCCCGTTGCTACTCACAATTGAAAACCAGTAATTTGTATTACCTACTGTCAATTCTCCCACACCTTTTACCAATTCACCAATCACTATCACAATCATTTCAATCGACGGTAAACAATCTGAACTGTAAAAATACAGAAATCCAAAGAAATACGTAGCTCAAATTTATACTGTTTCTCCGAATACAATATTCAAAGTTGAAACATTAGTTCCATATGTATTGTCACCTACTGCTGATATAATTACAAATTAACACATCAAACACCCGAACCCCAACAAATATAACCATTCTTCAGCAAAGCAGTTTTACTGCATTTCACATTATCGACAAGTGAAACCGGAAATTCGCTTTATATCGATAATACTGAACGACGTCACCCCACTATACAAGCGAACATCCCACCCTCTATTACACACACTTCCCAACATGATCTATGCCGTCTACTGATAAATGTACAAAATTGACATCTCTATATCTCCCTCTTCTACCATCGTTTCCCTTTAATGTGGGCCGATGGCAGAAAAGTCTTGTCTTCACGATTTATTCCCAACTCCCTCCCTGTTTTAGTAACAGGCTGAACAATTCCCTTCCTGGTTTAAAAAACTGTATATGAAGGCACACACCAAAATATGTGTCTGATAAATTTTTAAAATGCAAAACTCTTTTATCTAGAACATGAATTTTCCAAGAATCGTGAACGAACTGCATTAAATTTATTTAAATTAAATTATCATTTCTTTATACAATTCTAAGTTGTGTTAATCTACCATGTTCCATGACAAGCATTTGTTTTGCGATGGATAGAGTGTGATTCGTGTTGTCAATGTTGCCGGTGGGCGGTAACAAGGCATTTACAGAATTTCATGCAAAATATTTGTCATGATATAGACTTCACTGGCCACCAGATGTGTCAAGCATCTGATGGCATCATTGACAATCAAACCAGCTTTAGTTACCGATTAATACAAACAATATTTATTATAGTGGGACTGAACAGTCATTCGAATCATTTTATTTCTCAGAGAACTATTTGAACAAGGAAAAAAAGACACAGGTTCCTATTCCTTTAGAAGTTTGTTTCCCAGCTTTCTTCGTCAGCTTTTCAGTATTGCATACATCATTTTCGCACACTTCTGGTGTTACCTGAATGTTGATATACCACGTATTCAAATTCATGCCAGAAACAAATCCATTTTGTGTTCCAACATTCAAGATAATGGAAATGGTACACTTTGATCTCTCTTCTGAATAGACTGGCTGGTAATAATGTTATTTTCACGCGTTTTACTGCAACTATAAACTACATATTGTCCAAATAATCGATTACTATTTAACTGTTGAAAAACAAAAATTCTCTCGCAGGACCCTGGAACCCTTCAAAAGAATCCGATTCAATCTCCGAGTAACACGTAATTGCCCGACCCTGAGCTACAAAATACAACGAAATGATAATGAATAGCCAAAACAACAAACTGCTTTATTTTCACTCTATAAACTGTAAACACCAGTAACTTGACCTAATTTCGACGCAGCAAAATAACAGGGCAGAAAATTAATACTCAGCATAGGATCAACACAGCATTTCACCAAACGAAGCTAACTCGAAGTTCCATAAGGTTCTTTGTTCTTCGAAAAGAAACTGGCCATAATAATGTGCGGTAAATGTACAGGACTCGACGCCATGGACGAGCATGACAATCCGATGTATAGCTATTGGTTCAGCGTTTAAGCAGTAACGAGTCTAATTCTAGCCGCTGCCATAAGAAAACCGCAATAATACTCTAAACCGTAAGTCAAAAGAATATAACAAATTTTTACCCGCATGTTTCAAATATGAGAAAAGTAAAAACATATAATTTGTCATAAGATGCGTAAAGCTAAGTCCACTTGAGAGGCGCGTTCGCCAGCAACCTTTGTGAACGGAAAGGGAATTCTGTGATAGCATTCCCCAACCACACGCGCACAATAAAGCAAGTCTTCACGTAAAGCGCCCCTCAGTGTTGACCCATTTTAAACAAAACTGAAATGTAACAAGTCTTTCCTTTTCTAAATCTGGCGGAAATCTGTTCAGTCATTCTCGAGATATTATTACACGCATGCGTACAGACCGGCGGACGGAGGAAGTGATTTTATTAAGCGCTCCGCAAGAATGCAAACTACCCTAAAAATGGGAATAAGAATGCTTGCATTCGTAAGTACATTTCCAGAAAGGAAAGGGAATTTTCAAAATCTGGCGAAGGGTAATTAAAATGGGTCTGTTTTAGGTTTTATACCAATCACGTTCCGTAACACCCAAAAGGAAATTACATTTAAAAACTGTATTTACCAGCAATATGGCCAATACCAGCTGGAACGTATGCAAATTAATTATTCTCTTCGCAACTTTACTGTTGATTCATTCATAACAATTACAAATTAAGTTGGATACTGTCCGCTGTAATATTCTGCGCTAACCATTGGGCCACCCCAGTGGTCCAGCAGTCAGGAACCTACTACACAGTTCACATAACTTCGTCCCATCACCCCCAAATAATTATTTTATGCCCGCGTTTTGAAAGAAAAAACGTTTTCTCCTCAGTTATTCCCGTCAACCTGTGACTTTGAATGTAAGTTTCTTGTGAACATATTTTAGTCACCCCTTTGTTTTTCGTGATGCGTGATTAGAGAGTTTTCTTTCAGTAAATTACAGCTTCTATGAATGAAAAAAGAACGCCCCTGAAGCAGATTTACAACGTGAAATCATCCAACTTAAGGGAAGAACTTCGTCCTTAAAACAAACTATTTTGAATTTTAATTTCAGAAGTAAAATCGAACGAAGAATAACAATCCTCATGGAATATGAGAATACTGCATAAAATAACGACAGTCACTGTTAGACTTTTGTTATACACAGTGACACCTTTTAATGAGAACCCCCGATTCTTCCGATATGTATATATTTTTGTGTACGATTGTCCTGTTACGCAAACCCCAGTCAGTCGCGTATAGTTCATCTAGTTGCCCCATGATCATGGGTTATATTGACAGTTTATTTCTTTCTGACCAAAGGTTATCGGCAGTGCATAGTGGATAGACTCTTGTGTTCTTCGTATACATTGAATAATTATCTTAATTTACTGTAAACGTCATAGGTTATGAATGTAGATTGTAAATAGACATACTTATAGATTTATTGAGAGTGCAGCAATGTGCTTCCCACTGTAAGCATTTTATTTCTTCGACGAGCGACACTCCCGCGTGCGGTTAAAGTCGATTCAACTTTGATTGTACTTGATTTGTTATCGCATTAAACAGTCAGCAACATGTGACTTATAAACTAAACTTTGACTTAACCCAAATATTGGTAGTAGCATACAAATAAGGAAATAAGCAACAAACGGGAAAAATAGATAAAGAGACGTAATGATGTCCTACTTCCATACTATCACTGTTGTTAAGTTACAAAAGCGCACACCGAGGAATGCTAGAAGCTGGCTGTCGGCGAAGGTATTTTGTTACGTCACAGAGAACGGCGCTACAATAAAACAACCCAACACACAACAGACTAATAGTTAACGAAATGCGATTAGCAAATTCCTTTGAAAGAAAGGCACACAAAAATTACATAGGCTTATCAATGAACACAGAAGGACAGAGACAAAAATAAGAAAAGGTACAAGGAAAGAAAGACCAAGAGTGCTAACCACAAACCCAAAATTTTAATTATTCGCCCTGAAGATGGAGGCAGCAAGGACCTCTGACACGTCGATAAACTTAAACCAGACTACACAACGTAACAACCCAGAAAACAGTCATCTTCCGACCCACCTCCGTGTAAACTGCAAATCCTACAATTTTGCAGCCATTTTTATTTAAATATGTTCATATTACTATTAAAAAACAGGTGTTTTCTGCCAGGTTTTGCAACCTGTTTCGGCGACTCCTTGGACGGGGGATCGGCCACTACCTACACAGCAAAGCACATTAATATGCTGAAACACATCCATGTCTCGACTGGGATCCGAACCTATGATCCCAGTGTTCGAGCCACCAAAATCCACACTAAACCGCGTGGCTCCTGTGACAGGCACGTCGGAACTTAATAACAGAACATTTTAGTCTCTTGACGTACATCGCAATCCTGTGAGGAGCCGTTAACTGCGAATGTCTTACCTTATCGGCAGTAATGTTAAATTCTCCTTTGCACTGTGAGGCAGTATAGAAAGCCAGTGACATGCTGCACAATGTTTTAGTGCTGAATTCAACAGAATTATATTAATTCATGCAGGTGTGTCTTAAAATTACACACGGTGTCCACCTTTCAGAAAAGAGGGGTGGCACCCCTCTATTTGCCACCAGTGCCAGGCTGTATCTGGGGCCCACCCTGCCCCATATTCAGTTGGTATCAGGCCTCATTTCCCTGGGTGAACATGGCCCTTGGTCTCAAAAAGGTTGCAAACACCCGACATAGAAACCTTGACGCAAACTTCAAACATAGTCATTATCTAACCCTAATTATGGGATTATATTAGATTACTGCACCAACAAAGGAACCTGTAATATGAAAAAACTAGGCAGTTTTCAGCAAAAATCACAATTCTAAGGTCACAGCCAACAGATCATGAAAACTGAGATGATGGAACAGATGCTATGAGCATCATGATTATGCTGTATACCAAACCACACTTTCAACACATCCAGTCTCAGCTGCCAAATGGAAGACGTTCAAATGTGATGTTTACTCACAGAGCCAAGCCAAAATGCGTCACAAGTTTTTTCCTCCAGATCTGCACGTGGATTCCCAAAACTTACATAAAGAGGCACATGAAAATGACAAGTTAAACAGTCAAGAACCAAGAGAAGGATTTCATGTCAACATAAACCCATCTATGATATATCTTTCTTTAGAAACATTAGTCACTTCTGCTCTGAATATCTTTTCTATTACTGGAAATAAAATTCTCTGCCATCATTTAACAATTTAAGCTAACAACTTTTTACATCAGTGGGAATAAACCACAACAAATACAGAAGCAATGAATTAACTGAACAAAGCCAACATTTCAGAAATTGTATGTTTATAATCAGCCCTCAGGATGTGATGTGGTGGAAAACATTCCTGACATTTTGGAAACTGTGTCTGCTTTCTTCACTAGCAATCAGGCTACTCACACTGCTCAGTCAGAAATTATGTTTCTCTTTTTAACAGTATTCATCATATCAAAGAATATTTCATATAAAAGTTAATGAGATCTACATTTTATGCCATGCTCCAGTTTCTTATACAATAAGAAAACTAGCGAAATAAAGTAGAGGTTATACCGGACCAACACAAACCAAACTTAAACATCTTTCAGTGTACAGCCCCAATCTCAGATTTCGTCTAAATCAGTTCAGAAGTTTCAGAGATGAAACATGCAGACAGACAATGATTTCAACTGTAAGCAGAATAAAGAAACTGGAAAACCAGAGCTCTATCTAGAGTGAGGCCCCTACATAAAGCAATCCAATTTTGTGCAATGAAGTCAGCATGTTCAAATACAACTAGGAACATCACAAGCAATAACATAAACTTCCACAAGGAAGGCCATAAATGCTAACTCAAGGGAGCCAATTCTAAGAATACACAAAACATGTAACTATGGCCAAAAGTCAGACCTATGAAGAGAATGGAATGTGAACATGTAGCCAATACAGCATGTAGGAAACACATGCCCTGTTTAACCATAACCATGAAATATGTAGCTTCTTAATAAACACATGCTCTGTATAACAGCATAACATAAAAACAACATATGATCAGAACATTGTAGCCTGATACACAAAGGGCAAAGACTCTTTTCTTGGCAATCCTCCATGCCAAAATTGGAACATAGCTTTCACTGACCAGTCCTTGGGTTTTAACCTGTATGTATGCAACGTATTAATAGTATCTGCAAACAAAGCCCATCTTCAACACTGGTCACTCACCTCTTTCCAGAAAACTGTCATTCACAATGTGTTTCTTGCTTGCTCCTCAGCTTATTTTATGACACCCTTTAATTGCATAGATTAGTGAACGGATAATTATGATAAACTGGGAAGGACATTGATTTTAAAATACTATCCCAGCACCACTGGGACAGAATGAGGAAAACCACAAAAAACTCGTCTGAACGTGAACCTCCCAAAAATGAAACGGCAGCTAAACAAACCACTCAACCACATCATTCAATCTAATATACATATATTTCAATTTAAAAGTTATTCTTTATGTCCAATGGGACCAAGTGTCAAGATGCAGTGCTTAGCACTCATATTCATATTTAGAAGGACTGAGTTAGAATCTCAGCCCGAAGATTCAAAATATTTAGCTTTTCCGCCAGTCTTCTCAATCCCTTCAAGAACAATCTGTAGCAGCACTTAAAATGGCACTGACCACTTTCCATGTATTCCCAACACATAATTCATAATCATTCTAATAATATTCGCTACATAACTCTATAACCTCTGCAAATTACAATGTAAAACAAGTAAACAATAAATAGTTGTTAAAATAATTTAAAACACTTTACAATATATTAAACATCACGTTATATCTGTGCCTAAACACCATGCCGAGAACTTGAATATGGAGGTAAAGTTCCAACATTCAGTCTTTCTCCATCAGAATTTCCTGGGACTCAAAATGGGAAACTTTAAGGTTTCAAAATTAAGGAAAGGTGGGGAAAACTGGTGTCTCATGAAAAATTCATCAAGAGTAAAAAATAATTACCACTACATACTTAGTGGCATTTTCTTACATTTAAATAAAGTAATGAAGCTTATAATGCAAACCATCTTCATGTTCGACCACTTTTGGCTTTAAAATACAATGGTGTTATAAACCAAAATACTCATCAATATTACCATGAAAACCCCCCATCTTATTATATCTTCCTCAATTTTCTCCCACAAGATATCTCACACCAACTGCAGCCAACAAATGGTTAGCACTCCTGCTTCATATTCAGTAGGTACTGGGTTCAAATCTCAACCAAAAGACTGGCTGTCCTGACTGAGGTCTTTCTCACCTTCTCAGTCCCTTGTGGAAAATGCTCAGAAAGTGCCTAAAAATTAATACATGACTGGTTCATTGCATATCCTTTCCAATTTATTATGCATTAATCTCCATCCACTCGAGTCCAAACTATTGGCAGTGTCATTAAATAAACCACAAATAAATATACAAAGATGCCTCAAATTATCTTTTCATGTGGTTTAGACAGGTTATCTTGTGAAAATGTGTATTCCATCCATGGAATTTCTGTTGAAGTAAGTGGCCAACCTACCACGTAGCACATGTTAAAATCTTAGTAACAAAATATAGAATTTTATGCTCATCCTATTGCTTACATTGGTTTCAGGTAAAATGAAAAAATTACATAAAATATAAACAAAATATTGTTGTTTACAAAATAGATGTACACCTGCTTACGATTTCCAAAGTGGCACAAACAGGCTACAACGTTTTACTGATAATGAAAGCAAAATTGGTGGTAGTGAAACAACAGAAAAAAAGAAAGATTTCCACTGTTTCTGACAAAATCCAATATTCTTTTATAAACAGCCAAGGGATTAATTACAACTTATATCTCAAATAAATAACTTCAGATACATAAATACTTACCTACAGTCGCCTTTTCTTCCTTCACTTCTGTTTTCGCACGAGTTACAGGTGTTGCAACTAACTTCCGTCTCTTTGTCATTGTGGATGAATAAAGTGACTCTGAAACAAAATTCATTAATTCTGAACATATGTCGTTTTCTGGAAATACTTCAGTGTTTCCCTGCACATCGTTCAACCAACAGACCTAATGAATATAAAATAAGCTTCTCCAACATGTATGGTAAAGCAGATGAATCAGAATATTGTCATAACAATAGTCATCAGTAAGGTACTAATTCTCATCTGGTACAAAGCCAGACAATAAATAAGTTCATATTTTGTCCTAACACAAATAATTCTGTGTTACCCAATGCAACTGGTTGTTGAATTGTATACATACCAAGTTCTCAAGTAACAGGTAGAATTTAAGGTTCTCATTGCAGTGAGTATGAGGATGGTTGTCTTCTGGGTTGTATGAATTAAAGACCTGTGTAGTCTGGCAGAAGTTTGCCAACATTTCAGAGGTCCTTGTTGCCTCCAACATTAGGCATTGAACTCAATAAAGCAGAAGACACCCATCTTTTTATTCACCACCATAAGAACCTCAAATTTTACTTGTTACTTGAGAAACTGTTATATATACAATTCAGTAACCAGTTGCACTGGGTAACACAGGAATCACCATGATGACAGATGCAGCAAGTACCTTTTGAAATACTGGTAAACTTCTACCAGACTACATGGCATTACAACAAGTCTTGCTTGTTATATTTTATACTGATTAAAACTGGAATCAAAATCACATGTTTCAGAATATATGAAGACACACTATCAATACTAACCCTGTTAAGCATATATAGAACAGGGGAAAGGAAATAACCCAAGAGTTCGCTTCCAGGAAACAAATAGTACATAAGGAATAACTGGAAAAGTTATACATGGAAAGTGTACTTTATAAAAAGAAAGCTGTTTACAACAGGTGTTTTAATTATGGTTTATATAAGGTCTAAGTAATTTATAGATTGAGTCACTATGTGTTGAAACAGAACATTTTAATTAACTTAAACACAACTCATCAGGTTCAAACCCAGCCGAGGTCAATGGATTTTTAAGGGTGATAAAAATCCATAGCACAACTTCCTTCACAGGGAAAGTAAAGCCAGTGGTCCCATGCATAGATTTACGGCATGTAAAAGAACCTTATTAGCATGAAAGAAATGTTTCATAAGCAAAATTCAGTGGCCATTTTTTACCCATATGTCTTCTGATTCACTACTAGAGGGCTCTAGCAGACAAATCAGAAATAAGTAGAAATTGTATGGAGGCAGCAGGCTTGTCACCTGCTACACTGACATGAGACACTAGAAAACTAATATGTCAAGTTGCCTTGAGCAACTGTCTGGAATGAGCCAAGGACCCAATCCTTGGCAGGATGATGATGACAACAACTCATTGATGTATTTATGTATCAACAATAAATATGAATGCATCAATTTTGTAAAAACAAAGAATAACTTTACAATATTATGACTCTATACTTGAGTCTCTAATATGCACCCATATGATGACCAACCATCAAACTTATTTATACTAGACCCAATATAAACTTGAAGTACAAGAAATTAAATTCAAATAAACTAGCCTAACATTTTAATGAATTTGAATTTTCTACAGAAATGTAAAACACCGTTCATGTATAACATATCATTATGTACCAAAGGTGAATATCAATACCACTTTCATTTTACATTGATCCTAAGGTTATTTCCATGATGTAATAATTCAATTTGTAATAGTCTCTAAGATAAATACCTTATAGACCATGAATAATAACCACCACCTACTATCATGTGTCAAGGTGGGTAACAACAGCAGACCAATAGCAACCTTCATAGAACCTCACAGGGTTACAATAAATGGTGCGCCCACTTCAATAATTCAATTAGTACTGTGGAGAAGGTTAACTATTAAATTAGTTTTGTAGCATATTAAGAAATCAAAGAAATATCTGATAAAGATTGGTACACAAATATTGCTCTACTAACCTGACAGAAATTCACTAATCCACAATTTGCCTTCAGTAACCTTAACTATAAGGCAAAAACTTGTCTAGACAGCAATATATAAAACTGTAAAAATCATATTTGTATTTAACCAATACAAAAGTTAAGTATTGTTTGTGGACAACTTTCTCGTGTAATTTTCACAGTACAAACAAATTAATGTGTAACTACAACTCAGGTCAATACAATGAAATGTTCTTCGGTTTCAGGAACACAATTAAACATGATCACTGACAATCACGAGGGGACACAAGTTACGTATGCAGGATATATAAGAATTACGTGACTTCACATTCATAAATAAGCAAATTCTTGGTTGGTAAGTATATAACTTCGTTAAATGCCGTAATTTCTTTATGTCCTTGGATTCCATGTGTTTTACGTCATGTTATGAGGTGAAGGAAAGTCCGTTACAAAATAAGTAACGTAACATTTCAATCAATTGTGTTGAGTTACCCGCCCTCGACCTTTACTACCTATGTCATTGAGATACACATAAACTATGTAAAACAGAATTTCTTACCTACGAATTCAACGTCCTTTAAATATGTGTGTCCTGAAATTAAACGTCCGTAACTATAGTAATTAGATTATAGCCATTCGGTTAACAAACAGCAATCAATATTGTTTCAAAAACGAAATTGTTCATTGCCAATGCGCCATTTCTGTACTATTGTGCTGCGATCTGGCCAAATTGATACCACATGAAACTTCGAACAGTGTTGACAGATGGCAGCAAGTTACATGAACCTCGTGCTGCCACCCATAGGAAATTATAATGACTAAATGAAGCCCAACGTGTGTTGATGTAATTGAACAATATTCCTTTTCTAATGTAGAACATCTACAGCAGCTCCCAAAAAGTCTTTATACACATAAATAATTTTGTTCAGTATTGCGCTCCCTGGAACCTGTCTGAGAGGGAACACATTCCTGTCACAAACTGGAAACATTTAAACGTGGCCAATGACAAAACATGTACAGAATACTTTCATAGCCTATTGGAGAAAAAATAAAACTTAAATTCTTACTTCTCAGTAGTATAAATATGTATCATGAGTTTCTAACTTGATCACAAGGCTCCATGTCCAAGGACATGTGTTAACACTTTGTAACATCTGTATTTTGTAGTGACATGTCAGTCCGCCATCCAACCCCCAAGCTAAAGAGCCGCCACTCATCAGCTATATGCAACTGTTTATTCATATACAGCATATATACAGCAACTCCACATCTGGAGGCAATCTCATCCATCTGTAACTTAATGTTGTGTCATATTATGCTGACAGAGGGCAGCTTTCTTACTGGGTGACAGATGTAGTACACTTGAATAGGAATTTCTACAATTATTTTGTAACATTTCATTTGTTATCTGTAAATTAATGTTACAAACATTTTTAAATATGTAAAACCAGCTGGTATGCCAGTCGGATAACAGTTACTTGTACATTGACACTTCTAACATTTTGTTGCAGAAATGACAAAGTTTTATGTGAAGAACTTATGTCTTCAGGATGGAGACCTACAAACAATATCAGGTGCTTTGTCTACAAGAGAGAGTAAGGAACCAGCTGTACCACCTTGGGTCCCAGAGTCCAGGAGTAGTACAGATATACTAATTGAACCTCTGAAACCTAGACTGTTTCCACAGGTGGGTAAAAGAAACAAACACCAATGATTCACACATCCTGTTGGGCAATTTCTTTGTGTTGTGGAACAATAGCAATCATCTTTGTACACTGTGGAAAGAGAGAAAGCTTTACCCTCTCACCTCTTGCTAATAATATACACATTTTACATGCTCTCTAATTCTCTACTGTTTAACCTATATGAATAGTGTATCATACAGATACCATACAAATAGTAATTAACAAAACAGAAGACTTTTTGTGCACAGACAATTTGGACCCAAAGATGTCAAACACAGGTGGAATAGAAGCATTGGTTGTGACCCACAATTATATAGAGAAGCAATTCCTGTCTTCACCACTTTATATTACACAAGAAATGGACCAAAATGCACATCAGTAGTGCAAGAGAGAATAGTGATAACTTTACTAAATACATTTACATTCTTTTAGTGACTTTGAGTTTAATTTATTATTACATTTAAAGACAATGGTTATATGACATATCTGTAATTGTAAATGCTCAGGTATAATTTTACTCTGTACAAATTCTTTATTCCTTTCACTTTATTTATTCTTTCTCCAAACCAAAATTTTAAACTTTCCCTCAGACTAAACCTACTTTAATAAGTTTATTAACAGTTCAAAAAATTATATTTAGGCATTTTGTATACTTCATCTTCAAACTTATACACTTCTCTTTAGAGTTAAACGTTAATATTTTGTAACTTTTCTTTTAGTTGATGGCAGCTCTACTCACCTGCTGGGTGAATCTTGCCAGTGGTGCCAGCCTTGGTTATGCAACCCCTGCCCTCCCATCACTCCAGCATCCTAGCTCAAGATTACACATAACAGAGAATCAGGGATCATGGGTAGCTGGTCTTGTGATGCTGGGGGCACTGGGTGGAGGAGTGCTGGCAGGACCATGCATTTCCTTGGGACGTCGTCGTGCACTGTGGCTTACGGCAACACCACTAACATTTGCATGGCTGCTCATAGCACTTGCTCCAAATGTGTGGTTTTTGTATATAGCCCACTTCATCTTGGGCACTTGTCTAGGCATCATTGCAGATGCATCTCAACTTTACGTCAGTGAAACGGCATCAGCACAGTGGCGTGGAGCTCTTGGTTGCATTCCAGTCCTCATGTTCAATGGAGGAATTCTCACATGTTACACTGCAGGGGCATGGCTTGACTGGGAGAAACTGGCTCTCTTTGGTGTTGGACTCACACTACCAGCTCTCCTGTTCCCTATTGTACTGCCAGAATCTCCAAGCTATCTGGTGGCACAGGGACACATAGATGAGGCAATTGGAGCTCTCCACTGGCTACGTGGTGCCACTTATGATATAACCGCTGAATATCAGGTAAAGCAGTATTTCACAACTTTTCCACACAGTGGATAATAAATACTCTGAGCATATAAAACCATGTATTTCTATAAAGTTGTTTGTGTGTGTATATATTATTTATGATTGACTTAAGTTAACATTATTCTTACACTTTTATATTTTGTTGCAGTATTACAATATAACAAAATTGACATAAGAACAACATTTTATATATGAGCAATAAATGATGAGTGCAGCGTACAAATAAAATATTAATGTTTCATATGATTAGTCACTTGTATGAAAAAAATTACAAATTTTAAGGCAATGACAATTTAACAATGAAAGAAAAAACCAGCAGCACAGCCTGTTGCGATGATAGAACAGGTCTAACAAGATCTTGCTACTACTATCAAACAAAAACAAAATCAAACCTTCATAATCAACATAGCAAAATCAGTAGTGCTGAATGGGCAAGGTAATGTCTTGAAATGGGTCACAACTACTTTCTCCCCCTATTCTTTTCAGGACATAATCATCCTACTGGAAACATTGTTTGAATTGCAAACTATTTTGTTTAGGAGTTGCTGTACTGTGAGAAAGGTCCTGGGGTGCTGAAAAAACTGCAGGGTCTTGGTGACCATGAAATATTACATCCACTTCTTCTCACTGGTGCCATCCGTGCTCTCAGCAGGTTCTGTGGGCTGCGTGCTATTCTCTGCTATACCCAAACCATCCTCCTCAGCTCTCACTCCAGTCTTGATGTTGAAGTAGCAACAATCATCACTGGAGCTGTGCAGCTTATTGCAACATTGATAGCATGTGTGCTACTTGACAGGCTTGGCAGGCGCAAGCTGTTAATAGCTTCTCAGGTGTGTATGTGTACAATTAGCACACAAGCTTGTGTTCATTACTTAATAAAAAAACAACCAATGCATGTAAAATGCTTCTCTGCCTTAGAACCTCACCAGATATTTGGAATTTCTATGCACACAAAATTCAGTATGGTCACTCACACACATCTAGCTTGGAACACATCAACAAGGTGATATAGTAAAAATGTTGTTAAATTGGACTAACAAAGGAAAGGGACAGTTCGAATTAGTAAAAAGCTAAATTACAAAACATATGTACAATTTTGAAGGCATAGCTAATAAAAACAAGCAACATATGACAGCTCAGTCAGAAAAGCGTCCAACTACAAACTGGACAATCGGGATTTGATCCCCGACAGGGGAAAAGGATTTTTCTTCTAGCCCCTGCATCCTCCTATCCAGTGTGTACCAGGAATCATTTCCCCAGTGCTAAAGTGCAGCTGGAGTGTGATGCTAATCACAACCTTCATCTCGTGCCAACATTAAGAACAAGTAGCAGCTATACCTCCTCTCCCCTCAAGGACCTCCATGGCATGTAGCGACACAGCTTTACTTTCTTACAAGACAGAGATAATATATTATAAAAGAAGTAATAGTGTTAATGTTAGTGTAATAGTGTTGATGACAATCAGTACAAAACAATAAACAATGTTGATGATGTGTTTATTCAAGTATCTTGTGCAAATTTTCAATGTACATGTTTTTAACAGTTGAAATAATAGTATATAAAAACTATTTGTCTTGTAGTTTGGTGATAACAATACACACTGCAACACTTAATTGCTGGACTAGTCTTATGTAATGCTGGCTTTGCATTTTGATCTGCGTATTTTCTGTTGCAGGCTGTGATGGGACTTTCATTGGTAGGTCTTGCCTGTTACCATTATTACCACGAAGATCTCAGAAGCACTCGTGGAACTCTTGTTGATTGGCTTCCTGTTGTCGCCATTATGGTGTACATTGTTGCAAATTCAATCGGACTGGGGCCAGTCTCTGGAATAATTATCGGTGAATTGGTGCCTCAGCGACACAGAAGTATTGCCAGTTCTATTACCGGTGCTGTTAGTTGGCTTAGTGCTTTCATCGTCACAAAAACATTCCTAGATTTAAGATCAATTTTAAATCTTCATGGTGCACTGTGGCTTTATGGGAGTGTGTGTCTAATTGGTGTACCATTTGTATATTTCTCTCTCCCAGAGACTCGTGGTATCTCACAGTATGGCATTGATGTACTCTTTAAAGCTAACAGAGATCACAGTAATGACATAACTGAAACCAAAATAGGTCAGAGTAAACCTCTAATGGTTTTGAAAGCACAAACTATGAAAACAAGCATCTGTAATGAATGCTCAACACAGGGCAGTGAAATCAGCAGTTCAGATAATATTTCTGTGTGATATTTCAATTCCATTTTTCCTATAACATAAATGGTAACATTCCAAACTGTTTTGTTGTAATTTCAGTTTCAGATATTGTAATCATAAAATCAGTGTATGTGTGAGTGTGTAATAAAGTAAACAAAGATGTTCTTTTTATAAGCCTTGATTTAGGTAAATTTTTATTCCATTATCTTTTCATAAATCATATGGTACTGAGGTACACAATAAATCCTCATTAAAATAATTAAGTGATAATTCATCAAACAAAGAATTTGTTTCAACTTTTTTGAATTTATTTGCCTGAAACATAAGCTTGGTTCTCAACTCTATGACTTGAAACAAATTATCATATAACACACAAGTATATTGCTCTGTACCATCACACTTTTAAGGAACTATGGAGGGTCCCCTGTATTACCAATTATAGGAAACTGAAAAGGATAAAGGTGCAGTCTCTGCCAGTAAACAATGTTCACACAAAGTCAATTGGTTCAAAAAGACATTTGGTAGTGGCATGCAAACATTCAAACAAAAAGGCAACATTTAAAAGAAGAAAACTATAAATGCATATTCCTGATACGTAAATTATGTATCAAATTCACTCAATAAATATTTAAGCTGTTTGGGTCTTTCCTGACTAGAAATTTATTAATTGTTCATTTAATTACTTATTTCAAAGACTGGAGAAAATTCCTCATTCAAGTATTCAGTGTTTTAAAATTATGACTGCTTAGAAAACTAATGTATTTGCCACCTAAGATAAAAGTCAATATTAAAAACTACAAAATCTTCAAACAATCTCTTCTATAGCACTGCATAAAATATGATATGTAAGAAACGAAAAGCCTGTAATTTTTTTATTGTTAGAAAGGTTGTAATCTGCAGTCAGTCTCATCAAATGCATTTAACCTGATATTCATCTTCTATCGCCTGTCTTCATGCTTTCATTTCATGTTATATAATATAAATTATATTTTGTAATAACAACAAAATATTTGAACAAGTTGCTTGTGGAAGAAAAAAATCTAAATACAAAACAAAGTTACACCAGCATTCAGGATAACATAAACCCAGTTTTCAAACTAGTATTAGTCTGAAAACATACAACTAGTAAAATTTATAAAGCTAAACCAGCATTATCAATCTCAAGAATTTTAAATAAACCAACAAGATAAAGGTTCATGTGAGGGAAGACCTGGTCAAGAGGAGAACCTCAGGAAGGAAAACAAAGAATAAGAAAACTTTTTCACAAATTTACTGACCACAAACTGAGAACTAAATAAAAATATTCATATGATCACCATGTTGCTGTTTTAAATTCTACACAAGTAAACATGTCAATGAATGATGCCGATGATGAAGGATCCAATGTTGGTGACATCAGATATGTTGAACAGTAATTTATAACTAAATTAAATGCCATGTGAGCCTCACGCATTCAAATTATGGAAGAAAACAGGCAGTGTAACAAAGAAACATAGAACTGAAAAGTGTCACTGGCCCAACAAACATACCAGCAATTCTAAAGACCAAATATTTATTTGTTTCATACTATCAACACCTCACAGACCTGATTACACTGCTTTCACTGCCATTTTTTGCTTTAAAATTAAAATAAAACACCAATATACATAAGTTTCAAAGTACTACAGAAGTTATATGAACATACTGGGACTAATTCCCCATACATATATAGAAAGGAAGCTGAAATAGAAAAAGATAATAAATTATTCTTGTAAATATAAATGCTCCAAGTATCATTTTATAATACAGTAAACAATTAAAACTGAAAATAACTTTTAAAATCCACAAGTTCAATGACAGCACAATAGATAGAAATCCAGACATGGTAAAAGAAATAATCTTACACTGTACATTACTTTTACACAGTATAAATAGGTATATGAGTTTGAAGATGGCTGTCTTCTGAGCTGTAGCACTGTGTAGTCTGGTACAAGTTTACCAACGTTTAAGAGGTCCTTGCTAACTGCATCATCAGGGCAACGGTAAACTTCTACCAGGCTACACAACACTACAATCCAGAAGACAGCCAACTTGGGTCTCACCACTGTGAAAACCTCAAATCCTAGGCAGGTGAGTTATTTCAGAATACTTTAATTATTGTATAAATAGAAGTCAACTTGTTAACTTATGTTTCAAAATACTAAAGCAGGCCTTTTTTTTAAAAAAAAAGGACTGTGGGCCCCATGGTGAGAAGGTATTTCAACTTACTGGTATTCTTTCCCGATCATTAATGCCAAATGTCATGCCAATGTATAACACTGCACCACTGATGATTGCATTAGTAACTTTAGAAGTATTCATGATGGAAATACAGAAGAATTCAAGATGACACCTCACCTCTATCATATGGTAACAAAATGTCAACATGGCACTTTTACTTCATGTCACTTCTCTGTGAGTGACAGCTGCAACACTTGTTCCAGCATTTCCTCCTCCTGCCTCTTTTGTCGCTCCTCCTCCTCACGTTCACGCTGCGAGAGGACTAAAGCCATCTGCAGATCATGGTCAGATACTATCGGGCTATCAGAAGAATCGGTTTCCCCACCCTCAGGACTAGTACGAAAAGCAGAGGAGCCACTGTCAGGGGAACTAGCAGAGAGGTTCTGCTGGTACAGGGCTAAGCTGGCCTGGATTGCCCTACAAAGCGAAACAAGGTGTTTGCACAAAATACAAATATTTACTGGAGTTGACACTATATAAGCATATTAGAAAAGTTCTTAAAATAGTAATACTACAAGGAAGTTGATAAAATTGTGTATACAGTTGTGCCGATAGGTGTTATGCACAGATGGCAATGGTATTCTTTTCAGAGTTTCAAAAATGGAAATGTTGAATAAAGAACCATTAGAAAGATGAAGGTAAGGCAGAGACAAATCTACTTCTGCAAAGCTAATTACACTACAGTAACTGCACTGTACAGAGGCACCAACTAATTTTTCTTGCATCTTGTTAAAAAGAAATTATATGAAAAATGTTGCAATTTAAAGTTATTGGAGAGATCTCTTTATTTCGTGTCATGTACAGGATTTTCTTCAGTTTGGGAAATTTTTAAATTCATGTAAAGTATGGTTTAAACTGGACCAACATAAACATAAATTTAAATTTGCTCAAAATTCCCAGTGTATATTTTTGATAGCAAATTTCAACAAATTTCTATCAGTACATGAAAGATATACATACTTACCTACATACATTTGTTTTATACAAAGAACACACAATAAAATGGCTGTCATGATTTGTATTCTAATTTTGTGCATGTTCAATTCTGGGTTACAGTGTGAAACAAGGTATGTACAATGAATATAGTATACTTATGACAGGTGAATAAAGAGTACTATGTTAAGGTACTTAAGGGATTCAATTTCTTCCTCTGATGTTTCGCTTTCAGTCTGTTAAACAAAGAGACTAAATAAAGTGAAAGAACTTCTATAACAACACTAAAAAACGTTTCATGTACAAGCACGTGCAAGGTTTGTATTTAATCCAAAATCAAGCCAATAATCATGAAGTCAATCAATACTTGAATCATCCCAGTTTTGGCATCTTTCTTTTTCAACAGATAAACAATACCCGAAGAGGCACCACAGTTAGGAAGCACTAATGAGAATGAAGTCCTTCATCACACACATACTTTCATATTTTACTTAACAAAACTTTCCCAAACACAAAAGTTATATTGTGTCAAATGGCAGGATGAGAAAGTTACAGACTACTTTAAAATACTTCAAACTTTGCATGGAGTGATTAAAGAAAACCATGAATAATCCCTCACGTGTGAAAATGTCCTTATATAACACATCCATAGTGCAAAGGAAGTTACCTGCCTATGCATCATTAATAATAGGTGCACAGGAAACCGATCTTTTACTGCACCACATTTTAAAACGTTTAATTTATGAAATGGTAGATGTCTGTAGATGATAGGTTTAAACAGAGGTGACATATCAGGCAGCATGACAAACAAAAAATTATTTCATGTAAGAAAGGATAAAAGCAGAAGAGAGAAAATTTAAACAAGACAAAGTTATTTCACTTTTCAGGCATTATGGTAAATATGAGAACAGGATTTTCTTACACTGAAGATTGTATTTCATAAGACATGACTCTCAAACACTACTAGACATATTGAAAAATGAACACCGAGTATGTAATAAAATGACAGTGCATGTTATGTTAGTTTAACCTTTAGCATACAGCAATAGGGAATTTAAACTCCATAGCACAGAAATGCCAGCTGGAATTCAACTCCGGGGTTAACGTTTTAGCAGTATGTTAGTGTAACACATGGCCCACTGAGCTGTGATATACAGTTGACAAAGAATTCTGTGTATTGCTACAAATGTTTGACCAAGTATGACAGTCTTAAAGTGAGAATATCTTCTATGGAATGTACCTTTGTAGCTGTCGTTCCTCTTCAGCATGAATGTTGGGAGTGGTTGGTCGAGATGGTCGCTGGGCTCGTAATGCTTCCCAGATATCCACCTGAGTATGAGACACTTATTAATATTCATTAATGTATCCAGAAAACTGTGTATATTGTATAGGTTTCACACAAAGAAAATATACAGAAATCTTCACAACAGTTAACAGATTTACTGTTTCACAGCCCACAGAAAACTGAAAATAATTCAAAAGACAGAGGAAATCAGAAACCATGATGCTGGCATAAAATACAGTGTAACTAAAGGTCATATAAGAAACTATGAGTTGACTTTGCAAAGCAGTGGTAGTCATGAGGGCTTTTCACTGGCAAAAAGCAAAATATCCTCTAACAAAAGAAAATGTCTGTAAATATACAAGGGTTACTTCAAAAGTCATGGCAACTAATTTTTTGGGGACAAACATGTTATATTGAAGAAAGTTCAAAATATACATATGAAAGGGCATGATACGTATACTCCTCCGATTGTTGTAGTCAGATCAGGTAGGTGTGAATGGGTATAGGTATAGTAGGCAAGAAAAAAGGCACATTACGGAATGACTGTTTTTTTTAATTCTTTAATCCTCGAAAAATTCAATTGTGATTAAAGAAACTCAATGCGAGTTAAATCAGAATTCTTACATTAAGACTAGCAAGCTTCAAAGTAGTTTCCGAGTGTATCAAGTACTCGCTGCCAACGACGAGGAAGACGGCGAATACCATCAGCTTTACCATCTCCAAATCTTGCCATCTTGTGCCGAACTGCGTTGGAAATGTCCTCTCATGTACAAAAGCATTTCCCTCGCAATAGCTGTTTCAATTTGGGTGTTAAGTCATAGTTACATGGCGAAGGGTTGGGTGAATATGGAGGATGGTCACAATTGAATTTTTCAAGGATTAAAGAAGGAAAAAAAAATGGTCATTCCGTAATGTGCCTTTTTTCTTGCCTACTATACCTACACCCATTCACAACTACCTGATCTGACTACGCCAATCGGAGAAATATATCGTGCCCTTCATATGTATATTTTGAACTTTCTTCAATATAACGTGTTATGCCCCAAAAAATTAGTTGCCATGACTTTTGAAGTAATCCTCATATAAATGAGAAGGTCTGGTTCATGTGTGGAGCGGAATCCACAGGTTAGAAGGCAAGATAAAGATAAATTGTGAGGGTCCTTTTGCAAGGTAGATGGACCAATCTCTGATCCTAGCCTGTACTAAATGAATGTGGCAGAGCCATCACGATCTTTCTTCAGAATGTTGCATATTCAATAAAATACTGTATTTATACATTCCAAATTATATTTTAATAGTACCTCATCTTTCTCACTACCAGCCTCTATAAGACTCTGTTGAATTGCAAACTGAAGTAGTTCATCTTCTTCTTCTACGCTGAACTGTCTTCGAACTTCTGCACCTGAAACACACACTTAATATTCAATACCAGACATGTACAGACAGCTAATAAATCATTTTAAATTGTTGTGATACAAGTATGTGAGAGATATTAACAAATCAAAATGATATTCATGATGAAATTAAGGGCAGCTTAAATTCAGAGCATGATTGTTACCATTCAGTGTAGAATCCTTTTCTTTCCTATGTTTTTATCTAAAAGCCTATAGATTAAAAGATACAAAACTATAATTATTCCTGTTGTTTTATAAGGGTGTTAAACATGGCCTCTCACGAGGGAAAAAAATATTTCAGAAATGTCCTTATATAATCAGTAGACATAATGACAATATAAACAATACGTCACAACAGACACCAGCCAACTACTTTGCATCTGTCTCCTACTCAACATAACACCAGAGCAAAATACATTTTTCCCTTCAGTGAGATGATCAATTGAAACATTGTAATTGGCTGCGCTCAAATGGCATAATGAAGTTAAGATAACCTTGTCAATGCCACATATCCAAACTGGCATTACTCAACTGCTGCCCATATCTAAGAAAAAACAAATAATGATATGGGGATGAGTTCCCAACCATAGGCCTGCAACAAACTTTTCATATCATAAGACAGGGCCCTGCACTGTCTTGGAGAAAAACTACACCATGTTCCATTAGTTCTGATTGTTTCCAACACAGAGAAGCACCTTACAATATGACAATGCCACATAGCATGCAAAACTGACAGTGGTATGAAATGGTCAAGAATGGCATTCTGGACATGACAAGCAATGAACTTCTCTGACTACTTCTTGCAACCATCCTCCATGGTGACATGGCTGACTATTTTTAACTGGGAGACTGAAGAAACTCATATCAAATTTCAATCACACAAGCCACAATACTTACCTAACTTTGAGTATGATGCTGGAGGAACAAAACAGCTGTCATCCACAATGCAAGAAATTCTGTCTTCTTCTGTAATTCGCGTGACTCCAGGAATTTCTTCATCCAAACCAAATATGTTGCCAAATGTTATTCTAGCATTCAGCACGTGAAACAGGGGGATTTCTGAAAAGAATAAAATTACAGTGAAACCTCGATGCATCGTTTTCGGCGGGGGTGGGAAACAAAAACGATGAATGCGGGAAAACGATAGATGCGGGAAAGCATTAAAAATTTAAAAAAAAACAATATTTCTCTTTCAAAGTTACTTCTTTTTACCAAAAAAGTCTTTAATGGACAACTGGTTTGTTGAAACTTTACGTTTTAGACCAAACAGAGCACTTTCCACGTTCAAAATGTTTTCTTCGTCACGTTCACTAATATTAAGCGCATAAAAGAACGACTTCACTTTCACCAATGCAGCGTGTACTTCGGCAAAACTCGGCAAAGCTTCGGGCGCGCATTCGTCGTCTTCCTCTTCCTCACCACTCCAACCCCCTTCGCGAACAATAACAGGAAGAATGGAAATACTATTACTGCCGAACTCAACGAAACGTAGCTGTAGAAGACCCTGAACC